TCTCCTTCTGGTTCAGTACCAAGCATCGTTACAGGATAGTCGATGCAATCGCGGCCCAGACGTCCTGTCCCTGCGTGCCGTCGCATCGTCACATCACCCTACCATGGAAACATGACGGGAAATATTCACACGATACCTTGAAGCATGTGTAGCTCGCAGGGCGGATCGTCATGTAGCCGCGTGTGTTTAACACAAGATTACGGAGGGTAGGAACCTTTTGAAAGATTGCGCATATCTGCCGTTCAGGCACAGGGTTGCCGTCAGTCAGCACATGTCGGCAGCGAAGCAGGGGGCGGGGTGCGAACAAGAAGGACGGAGGGCATGCGATCAGCTTTGATTGGCTGAGACAGCCCACTTACTCCATACGGCAGGTTTAGAGAGACTGTGGATTACGGCGCCAGAAATTGATTTCCACCCAACATGATTTCTTCTCCAACATGCGCTTGACATCAATTTCACCCCGACATCCAACCAAATCTGTGATGATCTCCCAGCTGATTTTGGGCGATAAGGAATTCTGTATCGCGAGCGTTCCCTGTAGCGAGAAGGTCCTGCAGGAAGTGGCTGGCCAGCACTCAGTCTCTTGATGCCTCCCCGGGCCCGATCCTGTCTGTTCCCTCAAGATTGCTGGATTCGACGGCGCTGGTAAGACCTACCTGGTTGGGAAGGTTGAATGACGTAATGGTGCCTCGACGGACTGTGTGTTGAGGGACTTCCCATCGTGCACGGCAACTTTCTGGATTCTACAACTCTATCCTTTTCGCTGCATCATGCATGTACGCCTATCAATATCTCATGCAAAGTGCGTACGAGACATGCCAGATCCGATGATTACTGAGGCTCGCCCTGGTCCTCCCAGACGCGTGATTCCTCCCGTTAGGATTCTCGCATGCCGCTTGCATATTGCCCCGGCCACCCCCTCCACATAGCCCTGGAGATCAACGCGCATTCGCCTCGACTTCCATTCACACTCCTGTAATGCTGGTAGCTAAGCAAATAAGCGTGTTCCGTAAGCAGCTTTTTGATTACTTCGCAGCTATCCATGTGGGTGTTTGGCCTCGTTCGGCGAATGCGCTGTATACGTTCACACGCGCCGAGCGTAGGCATCCACCACGGCGCCAGCACGACAGGCTTCCCCACCATCGCAACTGCAGCCATGAACACATACCAGACACATGCGTCCCATGCGCTTGTATATCGCATGCGAGCATGGCGTGAGCTCCGCTGGGCCCCTCACGAAAGGCAGCCGATATGGAGCCAATCTACGCTGGGCGAGAGAGCGCTTTGTTAAGCAACATAAATACTGTTGACGCCTTGTTTTATCTCCATCTCTCAATCTTAACCCTTAAGTTCTATTCACTACGAGATCTACTCGCAAGCCGTGCGCACGATGGCGATCTTTGATACAACAGACCTCGCCGCAAAGGCTTTGAACGCCGGTCTTGCTATGTTTGTGATTCTCTTTACAGCAATATTGGGTCGCATATTCTACATGCAGAAGCTGCATCCTCTTTCAAAGTTCCCGGGACCGTGGTATGCGACTTCTTTCTCCGTCGTGGGTGCCATAATCTCTGTGTTGCACAGAGAGCCTCAGTTCTTCATGTACTTGGTAGAAAAGTACGGAAGTAGGCGACCCTCTCATGTCACTGCCCGACTGCAGCTTCTGACATTGACACAGCGGACCGCCCAATACGCATATCCCCCACGATGTTGCTCTTTCCCAAGCCGTCCGCCCTCAAAGACATCTATCGGGACCCACAGTGCAACACTAGGGCTGGCATGTACGACAGTGGAGCCTTGGGACCTCCGCATCTGGTTTCCACGATAGATGGTGAAAAGCACCGTGTCTTGCGCAAGGCTCTATCGAACGCACCATGGTCCATCGGCCCGCTGAAGAACGCATGGGAGCCTCGCTTCGATAGCCACGTTTCCCTGCTCGTTGAGAAGCTGAGAGAACATGCTGAGGCCAAGCGCACCATCTGTCTTTCTGATAAGGTCGCCGAATTTGCAGCCGACATTCTCAGCATAATCTCGTTCACGCAGCCCTTCGGCAGTGTTGAGAACCAGCGCGATGAGAAATACTTGTTGACCAATTGGCGCAAAGGTTTGACATTTTTCGGCTTCTCGGGAAGGTTTCGATTCTTGCGGGAGCGAATCCTGCGACTGCCTGTTCTAGGGGTCTGGCTGTTACCGACTACCTCTAATGACTACGGGATGGGCTGGTTGATGGGCGAGGCAGACCGCCAGGTCACCGTGCGAGAGCAGCAAAACAAAGAGAAGCCATATGATGGAAGGCCGGACTTCCTACAGCAGTAAGCATATTCAATGTTCCTTTAGGCATTGTCTTCGTACTTATTGCATCCAGCTGTCTCGACGCCCGTTTTTCAGATGGCTCACCACTGACCCCGACGCAAAAGCGTGCCCATGTTACGCTTCTTTACCAAGCTGGAGCAGACACAACTGGCACAGCAATGGGTTGCATTCTCCGACTCATATTGTCAGACCCGTCTACTCTCGCACGTGTTCGCGCAGAGCTCGATGCAGCAGATTCAGCAGGCCTTCTATCAACTCCAATCCGTTATGATGAAACCCTCCAGCATCTGCCGTTCTTCATTGCATGCATCAAGGAGGGGCTTCGCCTTTTCCCACCGGCCCCCAATCTGTTCCCTAGGGTGACACCAAAGGGTGGCAAAGTCGTTGATGGACACTATGTGCCTGGCGGAATGGATGTCACTAGCCAGGCGTACGTTGTGCAGCGAGACAAGGGCTTCTACGGGAAGGATGCTGAAGATTTCAAGCCTGAGAGATGGATGCAAGGTGAGAAGAGAAACTTCGAGCTGGAAGCAGCTCAGTTCACGTTCGGGATTGGACCGAGGATGTGTCTGGGCAAAGATGTCGCAAAGTTGGAGATGTACAAGCTGTTGCCGGAGGTAAGTTTTTCCTGAAATAGATCTCGCGATGTTTCTTGCTAACTTGAAAGATTATTCGTCGGTTCGACATCCAGATCAACAAATCCGGCAGATATGTCGTCGACGGCGGTGTGGCGTACAACGTCGACTTTCTGGTTGAATTGGCAGTTAGGTAATAAGTATAGTAAACCCCGGGTATATTCACGATGATGTTCAGGTACATCTCGCATGTCCACGACTCTACCGTGAGGAGTACCGAACATGTGCCGAGCGGGTAAAGAGGCTAAAGGGCCATGCTCGAAGAATCCCTTCCCCCGCACACTTAGCAGATACCAAGCCCATCGACCCTGCTTGACATAAACGATCTTTAATTTCTCCGATATGTCTTACATGGTGCACATGCGCTCTACACCGGGTACATTCTTGAGCCAGATCTGCCCAGTATGACCGACACTATGGAAGCTAGTTGTACGGGTGTAGTACTCTAAGAGACACATGTCAAGACGGGTATTTGCATCGTACTTTGAGATCATCAGATAGAAAACCCGGTTGGCATCGTATAACATCCGGGTCACAGATCAGATATATAGAGCCACCCAAGTCTTCACCATGATAGTCACGGCCAATACCCAAGATGCATTTCTCTACCCTCAGCACCGTTCTGGCTTTGGCCAGCATCGCCACATGCACGCCTCTCGACCCTCGCCAGCAGACAGCTACAGCGCTTGATGCGGCCATGAAAGCGCGAGGCCGTTCCTACATCGGCACTTCTTTAACCATCCGCAATGACAACACCGAGCAAAACATCATCCGCAGTGCGGAATTCGGTTCCATTACGCCTGAGAATGCTATGAAATGGGACGCCACAGAGCCCAATCGGGGCCAGTTCAACTGGGGACAGGCAGATGCTGTTGCGAACTTTGCGACTCAGAACAATAAGCAGGTAGGATATCCATCATAGCATTGCAGGTAAACACTGGCAGTAATTAGAGCTAACGGGTACAATAGATGCGCTGCCATACATTAGTCTGGTACAGTCAATTGCCAGGCTGGGTAAACCAAATCAACAACAACGCCACCTTGATGGGCGTAATGGAGAACCACATCAAGCAAGTCATGGGAAGATACAAGGGGAAATGCACCCACTGGGACGTCGTCAACGAAGGTACAAACACTACGTGAGAGCAAGAGACATGAACCCAGCTGACGTACTACCAACAGCACTCAACGAAGACGGCACAAACAGAGACAACGTCTTCCTCCGCGTAATCGGCGAACAATACCTCCCCATCGCCTTCCGCATGGCCGCTGCCGCCGACCCAACCACCAAACTCTACTACAACGACTACAATCTCGAATACGGCTCGGCCAAGCACCAAGGCGCCCTACGCATTGTCAAGCTCGTGCAGTCCTGGGGCGTCAAGATCGACGGCGTGGGTCTGCAGGGCCATGTGGTGTCTGAGCCTACAGGCACCCAGAGCGACATTACGCCCAGCACAGCCGTGTTGACCAAGGTGCTTCAGGATTACGCTGATCTTGGTGTTGATGTTGCGTACACCGAGTTGGACGTACGATCTCGCACGCCGAGTAACTCGCAGAAGTTGACGGATGCGGCGGCGGCTTGGGCGAGGATTGCTCAGAGTTGTATTAACGTGCAACGCTGTGTCGGTATGACTATCTGGGTAAGTTTCAGCTGTTTCACCTTTTCATCTACCATGGCTTGTGTATGTGTGCTGACTTGTCGTGATCAGGGCGTTGCGGATAAGTATTCCTGGGTTCCTGGCACCTTCAACGGTGAGGGATCTGCGTTGCTCTGGACGGACAACTTCCAGAAGAAGCCTGCTTACACAGCTTTCTTGGATGTGTTGAACGGAAAGAACACGACGCAGACGTAAGGGTCCTTTGTTGCTGAAATTGAGCGAAAAGGTATTGAGGGTTTACCTGTCAAAGAGAAGGAGTGGGTTGCACGCCTGTATACTTTCAGTTTCCAGATCCTCTTCTACTGAATACGATTCCGTTCGACTTCAACGTGCCTTCTCCATCCTCATCTCTGTCTTCTCTTACCGTCTGGTATCTGCTCTCCACCTCCGTCTACGCCTTCTTTCCTACCAAACCATCAAAGTGCTCGAAGCAGAATTTTCCTCCGACAAAACACGTCGCTACCCACTTCAACCACGCTGCGCTTAAGAAACCAACACCATGCTCTTTCAATCTCTTCATGAACATGAGTGTCTCAACTGCGTGAGCGCCGTAGAGGAAGTAGAACAACCCAGTCTGAATCCATCGTCCAGCTGTAGCAACGTTTTCCGGAAGCGGTGAGTTAAGGTTACCAGGATGAAGTATGGCGGGGGTAGGAGCAGCGGCAAGGGCCATTACGATGCCACAGATGATGATGGGCTTGAGGTGTGGGCTCGAAGGCGGCGTGTATGTGTTGCGAAGATTTTTCGGCGCCATGGTTGGGGATGTTGCTTCTGGCGTTTGGTAGCTGTGATTCTGCTGGGTCGTTCCTCTGTATGCTATTGAACTGTGTGAGCATCTACGCACGGCTTGCAGGTACCTACCTAGGTAGTGATGAAGCTTTCCATGAGATAAACATACCAGCGAGAACACCACGAATGACGGGTGACTGTGTTTAGTACCCTGCACAGGCCTGCGTACCGTTATTTCTCAACTTCGGAGACGTGAACGAAACACTCGACAACAGACAAATAAGTTGTTCTTCGTTGGTCCGTCAAAATGTGACGCGTTGCTGCACGATTTCCACCTGCTGCCGAGGTACTTTCAACCGCCAAGCCTCCCCATTTGCATCCTCGATTGACAACGACAGTCGCACCCAACGAGTCAGCGCCGTCGCGGACAACATCGAAGCCAAAGACCTACCACCTGCATAACCCTTACAGCATCTATAAGCCCAAAACACCAAACTCACGCGTCTCCTCCCGACTCCAACCAACCAACCCGCTCAAAGTGGGGCCATTTACCGCATACGGCAGTCTGACATAGCAAACCGTGGATTACTGGAACGGCTGCAAACGTATACTTAGCCTTGCGATTATGCAGCAAAATGCGATCACATGAAGCGCTAAGGACCCTTTTTTGGGGGGAGGGGGGCGACGGCGCGGCGTTGGTAAAGTAGTGGGTTGTTGCTAGGAATCGGGGGCCGTTCATGCAGCCGTGTGGCACGGGCGGGTGTTGAGGGGGAACTTTGGAAGCAGGAAAGGAAGATTCTCGTGGACGGCGATGTGAGGAATACGACTTCTTATGCCGGGCGTTGGGTTTGAAAGAGTCGGTTGTGTAAGTTGATTAATGATACTGGCTTGAGTGCAAGTGTATGGAGAGATGTGGAGAGAAGCACCGGTTTTGTTGAGAGTTTGGTACAACTATGCACCAACGCTTGATGCGGAGCCGCAGAACGCCTTTCTACAACACAACCACCAAATACTTCTACTTAAGAAAGCTGCTATGAAACCTTCCTATCCTTCCTAACTTCCACTAAACCTTCCCAAACTTGCTCCATCGCAGCAGACACGGCAATGCACAACCCTCCTCCCACCGACCCACGCACCCCTACCCCCCGGGCTTGATCCCGTGCCGCTTCCCTCACAAGATCTCACCCGTCATCCGCATTCCACCAACCCAACCCACACACACCACACTACATCCCCCTAATTAACCCATTTCCACTCCTTCAATACAGCACCCTACAGGGAACAACCCGCCAACCCATTCACCACACGACTCGCCAAACAACGGGAGGTAAGTATACCGGTGTGACAATCCACTCTTTCCACACAAGGAACCCAGTTCGCAGCCAATGACCGTGCGCTGCGCGTGCGCATCCCGTGCAGTAGAGCGAGTGTCGCGCTTTTCGCTTTTTCTCGCCTTTTTGCGCGGTGCAGTGTGAGCATGGATCAAGGTGGTTGTGTTACAGTGATCGATGAGAGTTGGGGAAGTTGCTGCATGGGGAAATGGCGGGTGGGTTGTTGTGGGTGTTGCTGTCTTGGGTGTGGGATGGGGTGGTGAGGTGGGTTGTAGTGGGCTGCGAAGAGAGGGATGATTCTCTCTCATTCGTGCTTCAAACTGTTTATTGACATTATAGTGGCAGCAGGGCATAATTGGGCAAACGTTGGACATGTGGCTCTTCCTAATATTGCATGTGTCTACCTTCCTCTGTCGAAAGTATGGCCGTAACCTCGTTTTCCTTTTTCAACACCAAGCCATCACGTCTTGTCCATCTCACGTAGTCTCTGACTAGACAGCATTCACTTCGGCCTCCATAGCCTTGTCCTCAATCGGTTTTGTAGTTTTCAGAACTGGTGTGGTAATCGCTGAATCGTTTCGCTGGGCGTGGGGTATGGAACCGATGGTCGGGGTTGTTATTGAAACAGGACTCGCAACAGGACTGAGGTTGCTAATCGTGCAATTCAGACGTAGCGCCCGGTATGAACTTGATTCGTTTGTGAAGCGGAAGGAAGGAAGTTCTGTAGCATCGAAGAAGGGTCGCATTGTGTAAAGAACGGCTTTGGAGATTGGTCTCAAGAGATGGAGTTTGAAGGGTTGTAGAAAGTTGTGATGAAGCATTACTAGAAGCCTATAGAGCTCTCTATATAGTTTGCATTTATTATCTAGCCCCTCGGAGATGGCGCAGTCTCGATGGAATCGACTTTCAAGGAATGGACGAGCGCGCTTGAAGAACAATACTAAGACATGTTGTGGCGTTTGAGGAAGGGATGAGCGTTGTAAGCGATATTGGGAGCGATGAAAGTAGAGTCGGCCGATATGAAGATGCAAGCTCAGATATCGAAAAGCAGACAGGGTAAAGAAGATGAGCGGGCCATGTGAGATTTGAGTAAAAAACTTGGACCCGGATTCCTGAAGTGGAGCACTGTGCCACTTCGTGCAAGCAGGGCATCAGCCTATCAGTACCCAATATCACACGTCGTAACATCCTCGACAAAATGCTTCTCGCGATAGCTCCTCGTCCACCAAAGATACCACGGTACAACATTCATCTTAATCTTGTGACCCAACCTAAAATGACGATGTACGAAGTCAGTGCATGTCTCACACGCAGTTCGTATATGGGAGATCTTACCAAGGCGTATCCTGCACCGTCTTGACCACACTCTGACTCTCATCGAACGCAGTGTCGATACGAGCACGTCTCAGAGTCTCGTACGCATCAAACGCTTCTTTGACCGGCACACCCTCATCGCGTTTACTCTCCATCCACCTGGCCAAGCAGCGCGAGAACAACACACCATCTTCAAACACGATACCCGTTGACTCGCCTTGCGGAGGCATAGCATGAGCAGAGTCTCCAATCAGCATAACGCGGTCGGTAGCCCATTTGCCTCCCTTGGAGAGCGTAAACACAGGCCAGAGATACAGACCCTCTGCGTCTTCAATCCAGTGCGCAATCTGCGGGTTCGCAGCACCAGAATACCGCTCCAGCATTTCGTCCCGCGTCTTCTGCGCATCGGCGCCTGCTGCCTTCCAGCCGTTTCGGTCGGCGATCTCGGGGACTTGCATCAGTGCGCCTACGTAGATGCTTTCGCGGGCTTGGTCGTGGAAAGACGTCAGCATCATGCCGCGACGGCCAAAGTTCATGCCGCTGACGTCAAAGTGCGTGGGCTCGTAGTCTTTGCTGTCTTCGGACATCTTGCGTCGTGGGGCAAAGCCAAAGGCGTTGCAGATTCCGCTGTATATTGCTTTACGCTCGGGCTCGACGTGCTTGAGACGGGTGACGCTGTGGATGCCGTCGCATCCAATTAGTATGTCTGAGGTTGCGCTTCCGCCGTCTTCAAAGTCGATGGTCACGCTGGTGTCGCTTTCGCTGATCTTGGTCGTTTTCTTGCCACAGATGAGCTTGATGTTGGGCTGCTTCTCGATGGCGGCGAGTACTCCCTTGAGTGCTTCTCCTCTTGTGATTCTCAAGGCAGTAAATGGAGGGTCGCCCAATCCCTTTCCATCTGGTCCTTTGAATGAGCTCTCTGCTAACTTGACGTTGGTATAGAGGTCGAAGACTTCGACTGCGAGACACTCGGCGCCATATCCTTTGGCGCGGATCTCATCGAGAGCTCCTAGATGTGATAGGAGACGCAGAGCGTTGGGTGTGAGGTTTACGGCACCGCCGATTGTCGCAGGCTCAGGTCGGATCTCGAATATGGTGATGTTTGGTGGTGATGAAACAGGCGCGAACTTTGTGAGGGAGAGGGCAGTTGTTAGGCCAGCTATGCCACCACCTAAGATGATAATGTCCATCGGCTTTGGAGAAGCCATGGTGGGATGTCTGCGAGTATTGCTTTTCAGGGTCGTAGCAACAGCTCTTGATAGACACTAGGCCTGTCTTTGAATGACTTGTGTACTCGTCAACGGTGAGATGTCGAAGAGTGAACTTGAATTTCAAATACAGAAAGCTGTACATATACACTTTACCCCAGAATGCTTGCCACACATCGGATGGGAACCCCTTGTTCGTGTACCCGTGGAGGCCTGACCTAGCGCGGACTGTGCACGTAGGTGGTACTCCGGCGTGTTGAGTTCTCGGTAAAACGTTGGGGAACCGATCAACTAACATCATCAGTCTAGCAAGCCCGAACGGCCCGCCAACGTTGACTTATGCGCCTGTCTGGTTGCGATATATGCAGGGCTCCTGTTATCAGTAGAACAGGATGTCAGGTAGAGGCAAATCCTGGGTAACACAATGTTGGTATTTCGCTATAGATTCAAATTCCAAACGCCGGTCCATCATGCCTACTAACTTACAGGATATACATTGTGCGCTAACAAGTTCTCTATCCACTGAAATTCCTCTACTGCTTCTTCTGCGCGTTGGGGCCCATCTCCTTGCTGAAGGCGAAGTATGAAACCTCGAGACTGGTGAGGGCTCGGATGCCGACCAGAAGGATAAGGAACAGCGGAATAATAGCAGCGAATCCCATGAAGATGCCAGGTGTGAAGTACTGGTACTTCTCGAACAGGCCGCCCTCCGTCGAGTTTGCCCGCTTGGCATGCGAAGAGAGATCGCGCTTCAGCTCCATCTGCACGGACTCTGGGAAGGAGGTCTCCATCTCGTAGGTGTGGTGCTCGAGCGACTCCTTGGCTTGCGCCTCGGTGGGAGGGGTGGTGATGTAGATGAAGGTGTAGTCCTGGGACTTGGCCGAGTTGACAATCAGGTTGTCGAACTTGGTGTCTGTACTGGTCAGCCCGGGTAAAGTATCCTGAGTATGTACTGCCTACCATCGCGTTGAAGTTGCTCGATGCGGAACGCCTGCGAGCCTGGGCGCACTGGGTTGGTTGTTCGACCGAAGAATCCACCATCCTGCCCACACTTGGACACCAGATGGTCGGCGAGGGCTCCCGCATCGACAGTGCCGACAACGTCGGGAATCGCCACAGTCGACTTGACTTCGGAGTGCTGGCCAGACATGTACTGGCTCAGTTGTGGCATGGCGCGTCCGTCTGCGTAGTCGGCGGCGGAAACGCCATCCTGCTCGATGATGATGTACGACTTGGTCGGGCAGTGCTCGAGGGCCTTGAGGATGTCGACGGTGACTTCGGATGACTCAGCGATGGCGGCGTCGTTGTTGGGGATTAGGAGGCTGCAGCTGTTAGCTTGGACGTCAGGATGCGCGGCGTGCGGTGACGGAGGCGTACTCGGCCGTGGAGAAGAGGAAGAAGGGCGACGTGTTGCGGAAGGCGAGGGCCGAGGGCAGCGCTGCCAGAGCGAGGGCGCCGACGAGTGACTTGACCATGATGGGGGCGAGGGCGGGTGCGTGGGTGGTCGGCGGGCGATGGTGTTGTTCGCGCTGTGAAGCTCCAACGCGGCGACCATGGACGCCCGGAACTAGCCGTAGCCTCGATTGGCCGGACCCTGGGTATGACGCGCCCATGGAATTTCCGATGCGAGCGACAGCTCCCACATCAGCAATCAATTCACGCGCTCCTCCAAAGCCCGACGTGTCGGCGCCCGGCTGCTCCGTCGCATGAGTCGACCTTGACTCATCACTGCGCCTGCATAATCTGCAACTGCCTTTCTTAGTGTCCTTTCACGCACCTTCCCCAGTATAAGGCTCGCCACTGCAAACTCCCACCACAGCAACAAAGCGACCGCCCTCTCTTTACCAGTTCAGCAGGCCACACATTTACTAGAGCCTGCAGCAATAATCTTTCCTTTTCACCCTCGGCGGTTCAACGCTTACACACCATCGTTTGGCCAGCGCTCGAAACTGCCGCAATCCAATCGACAACATGTCGGCTCCTGCACTTGCACCTCAACCACCTGCCGCAGGCCCATCCGATGCCTCGAGAGGCGCACGAGGACGGCGGCGACCACGAGGCCGAAATACAAACGCGAACACGGCCGCACAGTCAGAGCAAGCAGAGCAAACACAGGCGCAAGCAGCACAGCAGCCACAGAGGGGCGGCGGGCGCGGTGGTAGAGGACGAGGGCGAGGAGGCCAGGCTGACGGTGGACGACCGTCGCAACCAAATGCGGCTGCCCTCGAATTTGTGCCCTCGTCTGTGCAACAAGCAGCGCATCGAGGTGGAAGAGGCGGACGTGGCGGTGCGCGGAGTGGCCGAGGAAGAGGCGGCGCAGAGCGGTTTCCACAGCGCATGGCTGCTGGTGGCCGTCAATTCGGTGGACAGTTGACTGTAGAAGACGATGCGGCTTCTGCCATCTCAGAAGCTCCGCCAGGACTACAAGCAGATGCGCCAGCCTTCCAGCCAGGCCAACCCATCGCCCCTCGCAAATCACGACCGCCGCGCCAGAAGCAGCCGCAAGCACCCAAATCGACTGCGCCCGACATCGCCACCAGGACACACGAGGATATCGATAATGGTCACTACGAATGTGCCATTTGCACTGAAGACGTCACAAGGCGTTCACGGGGGGTATGGTCGTGCAGAACATGCTGGACTGTGTTCCATCTGGGCTGCATCAAGAAGTGGTCAACAAACGAGGGTTCGGCTGCAGCGCGACAGCAGACTCAAGACGGGGAGACGCCTCCGAGGCAGTGGCGCTGCCCCGGCTGCAACCTACCAAAGGACACTCTACCCAAGAACTTCCACTGTTGGTGCGAGAAGGAGCTGGATCCGCGTTCAACACCCGGTCTACCACCATTCTCGTGTGGCCAGACTTGCTCACGACCCCGACTTCTCCCCAAGCCCTGTCCACACCCTTGCGGCTCGACGTGTCATGCCGGCCCCTGTCCTCCGTGTGGCTTGATGGGTCCCACGCAACACTGCTTCTGCGGGAAGAGGTCCGTCACTCGCCGTTGTATTGATACCGACTATGAGAATGGCTGGAGTTGCGGCGATGTCTGTGGAGGTTTGATGTCTTGTGGTGAGCACAGATGCGATCGACCTTGTCACGACGGTCCTTGCGGTGCCTGCGAGGTACGAGTGCCGGCACGTTGCTATTGCGGACAGATACAAAAAGACATTCTATGTCATGACCGGGCAGAAGAGAAGCAGAGCAGCCAGTCCCATGTCGCCACAGACGGTGCTGCAACAGTAGAGACCTGGATAGGATCCTTCCAGTGCCCTAATCAGTGCGGACGCTCATTCGATTGCGGGAAGCACATTTGTGAGATGGCATGTCATTCACAGGATACGCAAGCACCTCATTGTCCGCGATCTCCAGACCGAGTCAACCGCTGTCCTTGTGGCAAGACCGCTTTGAGAGACATGTCTGGCAACCCACGCACGACTTGCGAAGATCCGATCCCCAATTGCGACAAACCTTGTGGTCAAACACTCGCATGTGGTCACCAGTGCGAGCAGCTCTGTCACCAAGGCGAATGTCGGCCCTGCTTGAAGACGGTTGATATATCATGTAGGTGTGGACGTACATCATCCAGGACCATCTGTCACCAAGGCATGGACGAGCCTCCCCAGTGCAGGCGCATCTGCAAAGTCTCGTTGAATTGCGGGCGCCACGAGTGCGGCGAGCACTGCTGCGCTGGAGAGAAGAAAGCTGCGGAACGTCAGTCGAACCGCCGTAAAGGAAGGCCTTTGCATTCGGCTCCTCGCCAGGCTCACGAGAACTTTGAGGCCGAGCACATATGCACGCGGAGCTGTGGTCGACAACTGAAGTGCGGCAACCCCGAACATCGCTGCCAGGAACTTTGTCATAAGGGTCCGTGTGGCACATGTCGCGATGCCATTTTCGATGAGCTTAGCTGTCACTGTGGACGGACTGTGCTACAACCACCATTACCATGCGGTACAAAACCTCCACCGTGTCGCTTCAAGTGCGAGCGACCTAAGGACTGCGGTCATCCCCAACTGGACCATAGTTGCCACCTGGATGACCAGCCATGTCCGAAGTGCGCTTTCCTTACCGCCAAGCCATGTCTATGTGGCAAGAGTGTTCTCAAAAACCAGCCATGCTGGCTGACCGAGGTACGCTGTGGCCAAGTCTGCGGGCGCACGCTCAAGTGTGGCACACACAAGTGTCAGAAGCAATGCCATCGACCTGGAGAGTGCGAAGAGCCATGTACCCAGGCATGTGGCAAAGAGCTTAGCACCTGTGGTCATCCGTGTTTGGCACCCTGCCACTTCCCTCAACCCTGCAAAGAAGAGAAACCGTGTCCCCACAAGATCTTCGTTACTTGCGAGTGCCAGAGGATTAAGCAAGAGGCCAAATGCAATGCTTCACGCAACGGAGATGGTAACCAGAAGAAGGTGCTCAAGTGCGACGAAGAGTGCGCAAGGTTAGAGCGTAATCGTGTTCTAGCACTTGCACTCAACGTTGATCCGGAGCACCAGAATGACCACATTCCATACTCAGACGCCACACTGAACATGTACCAGCAAAATTCTACCTGGGCAGCGACTCAGGAGAAGCAGCTTAGACTTTTCGCTGCCGACCCAGATGAGAAGCGTCTTCGATTCAAGCCAATGCCCCGTAGTCAGCGCGCCTTCATCCACCACCTGGCTGAAGACTTTGGCATGGACTCAGAGAGCATGGATCCAGAACCGCATCGACATGTGGCCATTTTCAAGACCCCCAAGTTCGTCATGGCACCAATGCGGACACTAGCAGACTGCGCCAGAACTCGTCAAGTTCAACAACGTCTTGCGCCAGCGCCAGCACCAGCAGTGTCTTCCACTGCCACGTTACGCCCCAAGCCCAGCAACACCAATTGCGACCCCTATAACGCGTTCCTCATCTTGAACCCTCGCTTTGCGCTCACTATCGAAGAGCTCAACCCCATCATCAAGAGCGTACTCGCAACGACGTCGTTCCGATGCGAGCTAGAGGTCACCTTCCTTCCCAGCGAAGCCGTAGCATTGAAGCCACCTCTAGCAGCTCGGCTCAGCATTCCAGAACGCGAAATGCAGACCATGCTCGAATCGATCCAGGCACCGCTAACCAAAGCTCTTACCACGCAAAACATCGGCAAAAGCATGCAACTTGCGCGTCTCGACTCCTCACTCAACATTCTCCGCAAAGAGTCTGATGTAGGCCCCGGTTCAGGCTGGAGCGAAGTGGCAGCCTCGAAGGGTGTTCCAAACCGCCAGCTCCCAAAGACAACTTCCTTCGGGAACAAGGGCGGGTTTGCGGTGCTCAGCTTGAGTAGCAAGAAGAAGAAACAGAAGGAAGTACCTGTTGAGGTTGCGGAGAGCTGGGAGGAGGCTGAGGAGGAAGAAGAGCAGAAGGAGAAGGTTAGTGGGGCTAACAGCGCTGTCATGAGCGAGGATGAAGGTGCGTCCAAGGATGTGCCTGAGGCTTCGGGCAGTACACCAGCTAGCGACGAAAATCATGTCGCTTCGAAAGATGATGCTGAGCTCGCCACTAAGCCACTACCGGGACGTTGGTCGGATCTGGATGATGAGTAAATTAGCATCTCCGTGTGTAAAACGTAGATACCGACGAAAAACTATGATAGTACCAAACAGCTTTCTCATACTCAATGGTCTACAGCAACCGTGAAGTCAGAAGAAGACGAGCCACTTTGTTTTTCTTTGTCCAAACTATTCGCAGCTCTATAGGGTATGTAAGTCACGGTATCAAAACCCTTTTGTTGAATCGTCATAACAACCAATGAATCAACCAGTCAAAAACGCCTAACATATGCAACCCACAACTCCATCTCCCAAGAGCTTCCCAGTAGCCACTATGGCAAAGGCGTCCAAACTCAGAAGTTATTCTGCTCCCTCTGCTGCCTCTCCGCCTCACCCTCACTAACAATCCTCTTACCCAGCCACTCTGTCTGGAAGCTCTCATTCAGCTTCGACAGATCCTGGATGACCAGCCGGCAAGTCGCCATGACAGCTTCCTTGGGTGTAATAGACCCGTCGGTTTGGACGCGCAGTTCAAACGTAGCGAAGAGCGGGTGGGGCACTTTGTAGGCGGCGAACATGACGGCGGGGTTCTTGAGGAGCCGCTGCGCGAGGAGGTTGCCGAGCGTGTGGTCTTCTTTGTTGAAGGTGAAGACGGCAGTGTTGGGGACGCCTGTGCGAGGGTTGTTAGTTGGTGGGTGGAAGGGGGGAGGGAGTGTGCATGGACGGGATGGTGTGGGGTGCTACGTACGTGTCTCGGCTTTCTCTTCGACTTTCTGCTGGCCTTCGTCTAGCAGGAAGAGCTCGAATCTGTTCTCGTAGTCGTGGTCAGCTTTGTGCGTTACATGCCGGTTGTCTTTTGAGCTGTCGCGCAGTGCACAGTTTGGATTTTGCTCTATCAGTTGGCCGATCTTCGAGGAGAAGGATGTGCTTGGGTTGTCGCTCATTGGTTGGGGGTATCGAGGGTCTCGTTCGTCGGGGCGTGGGCGTGGTAGAGTCGTGACTTTCGTTGTGTCGCACGCTCTTGCCATCGGAGGTGTATATATGCGGCGCAGCGCGCTCTCGTGGTCACGCGGTAGTGTCGTGCGCCCATAGGAATGTGCGTCATTTCGATGTTTTCACGCGCTCGTGGTGAAAGCAGCGAACGCGCCGTGTAGGTTCGTCGTCACCGTGGTGTTGAACTGACATCGTCGACTGTGGACTGCGCGCAGTACAGAGATACTGTGTTGAAGAGGATGAACTGCAAAAGATGAAGCATACCTGTCTGGCGCGTTCATTTTGTCGGGTCTTTCTCCTCTCTATGCCTATCTACTCTTGTCCGTATGTCCGTATGTATGAATACGCCTATTGCGATCGCAAGTGAGGAAGGTGCGCGACGGCTGTAGCAGTGGAGAAACCCAAAAACCAACAAAAGAAGCAGCGCACGGTTGGTTCGAGTCGGAGGAGCTGTGGCAAGATTGCGATGGCGTGTGGTGGCCGCTGGGGAAGATTGCGGAGGTGAGGTTGACTTCCGCGCTCGACGTTCTTTGTGCCTTCACCCACCGCCTTCAGCTGCCTCGCGCAGCTTAGTCAACATGTGGTCCGGGCCCACATCAGCTTCTCCATCGCTACATTCCACGTCGACTGCCGAGCACCGATCTTCGACAATTCAGTCTCCAACAGTTTTTGCAGACCTTAGAAACCTACTGGAATATATACCAATGGCAGGTCCTGCGGCTTAGCCACACAGTCCACAAGTCGCCTCAGTACACGGCAAGGGACGCGATTGAAAGATGTTTGTATCTCGATGTTATGCTCGAGTTGCATGATATTCAGACAGCTACATATTTCTTCGGAGGCCCATCACCAAAACATGATGGGTGTCGCTGGCAAAAGCGACACAAAGAGTTTTCCCCTAATACAAACCACTGCCTTGAGCGACTGCGTGAGCGCCATTCAACGCCACAAACACCATGCTTCTCATGGGTACGCCCACACATCGCAAAAAAACCAGACTTTCCCACGCTAGAAGAACAACGCTAAGCAGGAACATTAAAATTATATACAAGCCAAGGGTGACGGGGCCTCGCAGAGGCGCTCTCTTTGCCAATCAGATTCCTTAAGACCGGTTAATCTGTGCTTGCTGCATACCGGGACTTTGTTGCATCTGTGGATTCTGAGGCGTGGCGCTCCGACTAGGTGGTCGGGCGTTCAATCCAGGACTGCCAGCCTGCTGTCTTGCCATCAGCCGTTGTTGTTGGACCAATTGGGCCTGATAATTCTGTACCGCGTTTGTTTGAGGAGCGTTGGCCATGCTACCGTTCTGCTGGAAATACTGATTATTCGCCATTTGTGGAGAAGGAGATATGCCAGGCGATCCAGCTGCTGCGCTCATTGCCTGCTGACTCAATGATGCCTGCGTACGTTGTTTAGCCAGGTAACGGTTGAGGTGGTCGGAGGCCTGTTTCGAAACTTGTTCTGGTGTCCATTCCGGATGTTGTCCCTTGATCTGGTTCTGGAAAGCTAGGAGCTGAGGCATGTGCCCACTCGATAGGGGGCGGGACGGTGTTTGCATGTTACCATTGCCCTGGCTCATTCGTGGGGATCCAGCGGTGTTTGCCATCCCATTCATGGAGTTGTTCATGTTCCCGTTCATTCCACCGTTCTGATTGGAAACGGGTGTCATCATATTCGCATTAGGAATACCGTTCATTCCCATCCCTTGGGTAAGATTGCTAGCCATGTTGATCTGTTGCTGTTGGAGTTGGAACTGGTGTTGTTGCGTAGCGTTAAATTGGCCTCTTTGCATGGCCATGCGCATCTGATCCGGCGGTCCCATACGCTGGGTGTTCTGCATATTGCCTTGCATTTGTGCTTGGGGAACGCCCGGTGTGCCCATCGACATGCCAGACATGTTGCCGTTAGCGAAGTTAGCTTGCATTCCCTGTTGAGATTGGTGTGCGCGGGCCGCCATTGCCGGGCCATTCTGCCCCTGTTGCAGAGACGCATTAGCCATTTGCGGAGGAACATTGTTTGTGCCCCCGGGTGTCCCGTTACGTTGCATCTGGTTCACACCATTCGCCATTCCTGGTTGCACCTGTATTTGGGCCTGCTGCCGCGCCATCATTTGTTGCTGTTTTCCGTCAGTGGTGTACTCATCGTGTAGGGACATGATTCTTACCCTAGCCATCATCTCCTGCGCAATGTGCCTTTGCTTCATTTTCTCTTCGCGTTCCCACTTCATACGACTAAACTCTTGTGGCGTTAGGGTTGTCTGTTTGGGTGGCGCAGGCTCATGTGCTTTTCGAAGCGCAGCGGCTTTCTGAGACTCCGCTTGCTTGTGGGCAGCAGACTCGCGCTTTCTGGCCAGCTTACGCATGCCATCGATGATAGCGAGATGTCTGTTTTCTCGCCTTCTTTCTACTCGTATTGGCGTAGTCGTGGGTCTTCTGCGCGGTTGACCTGGGGTCTGGCCTTGTTGCTGTTGCTGCTGCTGTTGAGCCTGGAACTGAGCGAAAACGGTCTTGTTGGCTTGCTCCAGTCGGCTTTGGTAGGTGCGGAAGTACTGTGTCTTGGACATCTCCGCCGGAAGACCTTCAAGCTGCACCCAGCGTTCAAAGCATTCCCATGGCGTTCGTCGACCGGATCCGGACACGAACATCGAAGGTAACGAAAGCTGCTGAGAGACCAGGGACCAGTTGAATGTATACTCTTTCACCAACGCCCGTAGCTTTTGGTCTTCTTCCCACAGCCACTGAGAGGGCGTGCGGTTTTCGAAGAAGGCAATAGTGGGCATGTTGAACTCTGTAGGTGGTCTGAATTGATGGGCAGCCTGAAGTCGGTCGCGAACATGCTTGTTCTCCGCGTTGAATAAGGCGACATTGGTCATTTCCGGTGGTAAGTCGTTGCGACAGAATAGGCGTCGACCTGGTGTGGATGGCATTGAATGTTCGGCTGACGTACCAGATCGACTAGGCGGCGAAGACGGCTCGTCTTCAGAGTCATAGTCATACCTGCTACGCTTCTTGGGTGGCCCTCGTATTTGCGAGACCAGCTTTCCAGTGACGAACTTGGAAACGGGAAGGATAGGTGGCTCTGAGAGAGAGAACGGGTTGGTGTCGCTGGAGCCCTCGAACATCGGGTCGTAAAGAGGCAGTTCCCGGAACATAGTATCACTGGCAGGTGTGCGGTCGATCTTCATGACCACGTCGTTGAAGCCTAGTGAGAATAGACCTGTAGGGGGGCTGGCGTTGACGGGAGTAAGTACATCGTCCTCATCACCGTATGACTCACTCTCCGTCTCGTGCGTACTCGAGTGGACAAGCTCTGGCGTAGGAGCATCATTCATCTCCTCGTCGTTGCTCGCACGCCTAGCCGACTTTGGAATGCATGCATTGACCCGTAGCGTTGATCGTTCTTCAGGTGTACTGGCCACGTACTCGGCACACCATTCCGCAAAAGTAGCGGCAAGTGCTTTCTTCCATTTCCTCTCTTCCTTGAAGTCTGTGTGCATCCACTTCATGTCGAGAAGCACTTGATCCTGGTGGGTAAATGGACGCTCAGGTTCGACGGCTTTCTGAAGTTGCCTCAAGGACCATCGGTTGGCATTCTGCAACTGGTACACTCTCTTCAAAATCTTGTAGTCTTGATGTTCACGAATCATCGCAAGCGTACCAGCCGTCGACACCGTCTTCCTTGCAGATGCTACAAGTTCCTGCAGAGGTACAGACCTAGGCGGGTGGTGAGCCTGGTACTTGAAAAGACCCTCTAGATAATCTCGGCTCGAATCTTCCGAAGCACCTTGGAGCGACGCATAATCTTCGTTGTACGATTGCAGGGCTTTCGATGCCCGTGTCGGTGTCTTCTTGGCGAACACGACGGTCGAGACTTCTTGTGACTTATTGCGAGCTGTTCTTGGTCTTGGAGGACTTGTAGATGCCGAATGATTACTTGAGCGGGGGGTTGGTATGGCTTTCGGTCCTGCCTTCTCAGCTATAATTTCAGAGACAGATTTCTGTCGTATTGCTCCAGAGGCGACGCGGGTAGTCATACGCCCGGGACGGGATGTTGGATGTTGG